AAGATTCAGCAATTCCTTTTTTAGTAATTTACCAAAAAAATTTAAACTATATGCCAACACAGACTTATACCTAAATATTCATAACAGGTTTAGTTATAATAGCCCCAACTTGGATACAATCTGGATGTTCATCAACAGGTGAATGGATTTACAAATAAATGGTGACATAGTCTTGAAGCTTTCTTTTTTTTTTTTTTTGAGTTGGAGTCTCACTCTGTCACCCAGACTGGAGTGCAGTGGCCACTCCCGGCCATCGTAGCCTCGACGTGCTGGGCTCCGGTGATCCTTCCGCCTCAGCCTTCCGAGTAGCCGGAACTACAGGCATGCGCTACCACGCCCGGCTGATTTTTTGATTTATTGTAGAGATGAGGTCTTGCTGCCCAGGTGGGTCTCGAACCTGCGGGCTCAGGCAATCCACTCACCTCAACCTCCCAAAGGCGCGGGATTACAGGCTGAGCCACTGAGCCCGGCTGAGACTGTGAGTTTTTATAAAAAGTTCTGTGTATTTCCTTTCTAAATGACATGAATATTTGATCTTTTGGGGATTTGGAATCAAGCTGTAGAGATGCTTGAGTTTAGAGCTAAATCACTACTCATCATCTCTGCTGCTCAGAAAATGAAAGAAGTTGAAATGAAAGCCTGTTTGGTGGCTGAGCCAAGGGCTGAAACCCAGAGCTCTCGGCAGCTGCTTTCAGCTGCGTGAATACGCGTGGCTTGAGCAGAGTGGAAGGATGTGCCATGTCTTCCTGCCTTCTCAAATTCAGCACGTCTGTACCTGAGACATGCTACTTCTGCCACCACCACCTGCTTCTCAATCTCCTCCTTTCTTCTTCTCCTCCACCTTCATCCTCATCATCTTCCCTCCTCCTCTTGCTCTGCCTTCCCTCCTCTTCTTTCTCTTTCCCCTCCTCTTCATCTTCCTCCCTCTTACCCTCTTCCTCCTTTTCCTCCTTTTCTTTCTTCTCCTCCTCCTCTTCTTCCTCCTCCTTCTCTTCCTACTCGTTGCAGCTGCTTCTGATCCAGTTTCAAGGAAATCAGTACATCTGCAGCCTCCAGACCGCTGGTTGGCTTTTTGAGAAGGGGCTTTGCTCTTAGAGGATCTCTGTCCTCTATGCTGTGATTATAATGCATGTATTACGGTGTAATTATTTGGAAACCATTTGAGATCCACACCAGGAAGGCAATTCAATACAGAGTATTTTTGTCAAAAATTCTGTTATATGTAAGTCAGTCTTCAGTTTTTAGAAGAAAATAGGTTTGCCTTGGATGTATATTGATGCTGGTACTTTTCTGTGCTGAATATTTGTATTGAATTGCTTTTTATGTATGAAACTGTGGAGCTGTATAACATAATAACCATCCATTTGCATTTTTTACATGGAAGATTTAAGAGTAAGCCTCTGTGTTCCTTTTACGCTCTGGTACACTCTCAACTGCTCGAGTCTGTAGGAAGATCCCACCCGTTCAACTCTTTTCTCCCTCACTGTGAGTGGCACTCCCATTTTCCTGAACTCCTTCTCTCCCCTCTTCTGTAATTTTTTTCCTGTCTCCTCTTCGCCCCCTCAGTGAAGTGTTTCTCTCCTGCTAGGAGGGTGACTTCAGACTTTCCTGACCCTTCCTCCAGGTCACATCAAGGCAGAGAAGCAGGTGTGATGGTGAAGGTGCACGGTCTAGGTGACTCTGTGTCTCCGTGTCTAAGTGAAGAGTCAGAAGTTCTGGGCCTGACCTCAGGCTCTCCTTTGCCATGTTAGTACTGATCATCTAGGCCCCTGTGCTCTACTTTGCTCTGGGCTCTGTGCGGCATGGATAGAAACAAATAGGGTTGATACAAAAGGGTTCACTGTCCTTTTAAAATATGTGTCCCAGACTGTTTATCTCTTCCGGCAGTCCGTGGGATTTACCCCTCTGAGATCAGCTTAGCACAGTGAAGCCAAAAGCAGCACAATTAGCAATTTTATCATCAACTCAACCACAAAGGAGACAGGGAAAACCTCTTCAGAATTCACGCATTGAGACTGTGAGAGTGATTAGTGTTGGGTGGGCTGCTGTTGGTTAATGCTGGTAATGAACTGTCACCACTCGGACTGGCAAGAAGCAGCTTTGCTGCCATTCTTTGTCACAGGCATGACACCAGTGATGTGAGGGCAGAGCAGGAAGCCAGGAAGCCACAGCCACAGGCACAGCCTAGCAAGGTCAGCCAAGGGGCCACACCAACAACTCCCAGCTTCAGGATCAGGGACAGAGCCTGAGTTGGACCCAGGCTGCAGTTGACATGGTCAACACATGGCAGGACTGAGTCCACAGCTTCCTGGTGTGACTGGGGCTTTGGGAGTCTAAGTGCCCATTCTCCTACCAGTGACCACTTAGCTGCAACTGAGCTAGTGATTCTGGGTTTTTGTTATATATATAAATTCTGAGTCTCTACTTATAGTATTAGCAATCTATTCTACAAACTCTTACAATTATCAAAATGTTTAATGTTACTTTGAGTAACTTTGAGCTGGTATATATGTATCAAGTGGTTAAGCACTTTGGGAGGTGGAAGCAAAAGGATTGCCTGAGCCCACAGGTTTGAGACCAACCTGGGCAACATGGCAAGACCTTGTTTCTACAGTAAATCAAAAAAATTAGCTGGGTGTCGTGGTGCACACCTGTAGTTCCAGCTCCTTGGAAGACTAAAGCGGAAGGATCGCCTGAGCCCAGCAGGTCAAGGCTGCGGTGGCCATAAGCATGCCACTACATTCCAGCTTGGATGACAGAGTAAGACTCTGATTGAAAAAAAAAAAGTAGTTAACAATATAACCAGGTCTGCCATGGTAGCTCAAGCCTGTAATCCCAGCACTTTGGGAGGCCAAGGTGAGAGGATTGCCTGAGCCCAAAGGTTCGAGACCAGCGTGGTCGACTTGGTGAAACCTCATTTCTACAATACATCAAAAAAAATTAACCAAGCATGATAGCGCATGCTAGCAGTTTCAGCTGCTTGTAACACTGAGGCAGAAGGATCGCCCTACCTAGCAGGTCAATGCTGGGGTGGCCATGAGCGTGCCACTGCTCTCTAGCATGGGCTATCGAGTGAAACCTGAAATGACTCAAAAAAAAAAAACCAATAGCACTAAGCCTGCATCATTAAAAATTTGTTTAATGTAAGAGCAAAGTTTTAAACAGTTCACTTTTTAAAATTAAATGGACAGTTTACAAAAGTGACATTCTTATTGTGTATTTTTAAAGTTCCCAGTATACAAGTATATGTCCTAAGAAGTGAAAGACCCACTCCACCTTCCCATCTCTCCATAGAGAGATCAGAAACCATGTGTCTTTCCATAACCTTCCCTATATTTTCACATTTGGCAGGAGTGTGGAAGTGGGGTAGTTTCCTTTTTTATACATAAATTGGGACATGTTATGCATGCTCAGACCACTCACCTGTGTTACTCATTGGCTCTGGGGCCTCCCTCCTGTCATAGGCCTGCCCCCTCCTTGTGGCTACACTGTCGGCAGTTCTCATGTCCATGATGATGCAGGTGCCAGAGCCTTACTACTCGGGTATTCTTGAACATACGTCAATGTTCATGTGTGGCCATGAGCGTCTGAGCTGTGTGCCTGTGCGTGTGAAGACAGCACATGGACAGAATTCAGAGAGAGGAACCCTGGGGACATCACAGTGCTGTGAAGAGGTGCTGTTCCCGGGCAGGCAGGGTGCCGTGTCGGTTCCAAGCTGGGCTGCTGTGACTGCTCAGGAGCTGCAAGAGGCCGCGGTCACTAAGCCAGTGCAGCGGGCTGGGCTGGCCAAGAGTACAGAAGATGGCCGACTTCTCTCCCAGCCATACTGGCGCTCTCAGTGACTTAGATATTGAGATCATATGTAAATGGCTTTAATCCCAACTTAATATGCTGTTTGTGCCTGGTTGGTAAAATTTTAATAATTAGCTACTGACCAGTTGAAGCATATATTCACAAGGTGCGGTATGTCTTAAACACACAGCTTCTACCCAAAAAAGCGCAGCATGGTTTTTTGGTTGAGATATATATGAAATATAGATTCCAGGTGATCAGTGGGCATACGCTCAGCCTTCCAGACATGCCGGCTAACACCACTATGTCCTTTCCTCCCCAGTGCTGGGCCTGGTCCTCCCCATGTGGGCAATAGCTCTCATCTCCTCCGGTGTGGCTCTCCTTTTTGCCTTTGTTGTGTGGCTCTTCGTGTGTCCGTGGATGCGGAGGAAAATAGCAGGTATGGGCTTTTTATTCTTCTGATTCACAGAAATACTCCTGACTCCCAAGGCTTCACAGGTAATACACCTTTGTCCTCACTGACAGAGAAACAAAGTGTGAACAACTCCCAACATACTCGGAATTGCATGCTTAGTCTCTGGCTCCCTGATGCTTTCTAGCTCAGACTTTTTCTTGATAACTCTTGATCCAGATGAGTAATAAGGTCCCAGTTGTCACAGGTAACTGGAAGTTAACTATGCAGTCAAGTTCTATCAGCTGATGAAGAACATTAGTCTTCAGGGAAATGGAAATTAACACCACAGTGAGATTTCATTTCATACCCACAAGAATTGCTAGAAGTGAAAAGATGAGCAACTCCAAGTGCTGGTGAAGAAGTGAAGTAGCTGGAACCCTTGTACATTTACAATGAAATGTAAAACGGTACAACCCCCTTGGAAATTAGTTCATCAGTATATTTATAGTTAACCATATGGCCCAGTAATTTCACTGCTGGGTATTTATCCAAGAGAAATGAAAACATGTTCATAAAAAGACTTGAGTACAAATCTTTTAGTCATAATAGGCAAAATTTGATAGCAGCGTAAGTGTTGGTCAGCACACAAATGGACAACCAAGTAGTGATAAATTCATGCAAAAGAAGACCATTTGACAGTAATTAGAATGAATGACCAGGAGACACAGACACATGATGATCCCACAGCCATTATGTTGAGCAGAAGAGGCCAGATACAGAAGAGTGCCTATACTGTATGAGTCTACTTTTCATAAAATTTCTATAAAATTCAAAAACAGGGAAAATTAATCTATAGTGACAGAAACCACAGATTGCCTGGGATGGGTGGGGTTGGAGAAGATGGCTCAGGGACTTTTTTTCTTCATCAGGAAAGGGGCTACAGGATGTGCTCAGTTGCCACGGGTCCTCCACCTGTACGTTTAAGATGTATGCACCTTACAGTTTGTAAATTATACTTCAATAACAATTTGAAACTGAGAAAAATATGGCTTAGGAATCAGCCAGGGCTGTTATCCTATTACCAGCAGCATAAGTGATTCCAAACCTTGAAGCCCTGTGCTTTTACAGGGCTCTCAAAACAAGAAATATGGACATTTGGCCTTGGAATGTACCCTTTGATCATGTTTCAATATGAGTATATCTGAATTTGAAAATCCGTGTTTTGGAAAAGACCAAAGGACATGAGATGTACTATATTCATGATTGGAAGACTCAGCATAATAAAGATGTCACTTCTCAAAGTCATCTATAGACTTAGCATAGTTTCAATAGAAATCCCAGCAGGATATTTTGTAGATTTAGACAAGCTGCTTTTAAAGTTTATATGGAAAGCCAGAGGAACTAGAAGAGCCGGAACAATTTTGAAAAAGAAGAATGATGTTGGAGGATTCATACTGCCTGCCTCTAAATCTTCCTTTAAAGCCACAGGCAGTGTGGAATTAGGGAAGAGGTTGACACACACAGGTTAATAGGACAGACTAGGGTCCAGAAATAGACAAAAGTACAAAGGCAGTTCAGTGGAGAAAGAATTTCAACAAGTGATATTGGAACTCTTGGGCATCCATATGCCCCCCAAAGAACCTAAACTTTATTTAAAAATTAACTCAAAATGCATGATAAATCTAAATGTAAAATAAATTTTTAAAAAGACTTTTCTGACCTTGGGTTAAGCAAGCAGATTTTAGATATAACACTAAAAACATAATCCATAATAGAAGAAATTGATAAATTGTACTTCATTAAAATTAAAAACTATGATTCTGTGAGAAACACTATTAAAAGAATGAAAAGATAAACTACAGACTGGGGGAAAATGTTTGCAAATCCATATCTTATAAAGGACTTGTATTCAGAATATATAAAGAAATATTAGAAAACAACAACCCAGTATAAAAAACAAATGAGCAAAATATTTGAACAGACACTTCACCAATGAAGATATATAAATGGCAAATAAGTTCATGCAAAGGAAATAAGTTAATTTGCAAAGGAAATGCAAATTAAAATTACAATGAGATATTACACACACCTACTTGAGTGGCTTTTTAAAAAAAACTGACAGTCCTAAATGCTGACAAGGATGAAGAGTAATTGCTGGTAGGAATGCAAGTGGCACAGGGAAACAGTTTGGCAGTTTCTTATATGGTTAAATATGGTTAAACAAGTAAAAGTATATACTTATATAAATATACTCTTAACCACTCCTAGATATTTCCCTTAAAAAATAAAAACTTAAATTCACACCAAAATCTGTACATGTTTATAGCACCTTTATTTACAATCACCAAAAACAACCCAGAGTATCTACAGAATAAGCAAATTGTGGTGCATTGATGCATTGAAATACTACTCATCAGTTACAAGAACAGCATGGATGAATCTCAGAGGCATTATGCTGAGTAAAAGAACCAGTCTCAAAAAACTGTGTATTTTTTCACCCATATAAACTTCTGAAAAGGCAAAACTATAGGGACTGAGACCAGATCAGTGGTTGTCAAGGTCAGAGCTGGGCAGATGGTCTGCCTGCAAACAGGGTTTTGGGAGATGATGGAGCTCTGCTGTCCCTGATTGTGGTGGTGCTTCCCACTGAGCCCTGCAGGTGTTAAAGCTCAGGCTTATACATACATACATACATACGTACATACACACACACACACACACACACACACACACACACACCCACACACACAGTCAGTTTGCTACATATAAGTTTTACAACTAGTCATTTTTAAAAATCTACACGAATACATACAACTTCAGATTGATGTGTGAAGCCATATTTTCTGTGGATTAAAAACCAGCTGCTGCTTCCTCTCCTATAAGGCTGCTCTCCCGTGAGAACAAATATCACAGAGTCCTAGCCTAAAAGGAGCTACCCATATACAATGTTTGTCTGATTTGCCCCGTGCAAATTCCACTTAAATTATACTTAATTAAATTAAATTTTTAAATACATTTTCTAATAGCTAAACCTTAAGGCCAAATGAACCTTAAAATCTTGACTTTCTAGCTTTAGGTACTAATGTCACAGCAGGAAATTGACATTGCTCCCCATTCCGGCTTCTCAGGAGATATTTTTGTCAATCCTGTATATTTTGATATTTCAATATATATGTCTTGTGCTGTTATTTTAAATACAGACTAGTGATTAAGGGCACAGACCACAGAGCTAAACTGCCCACGTTGAGTCTTGACCCTGTCTGCCACTTACTGCCTGTGATACCTGATGCAAATGACTTGATCTTTCTGTACTTCAGTGTACTCATTAATAAAATGCTGAAAATAATAATAATACCCATCTTGAAGTGTTTATTTTTATTATAATTATTAATATAATCTTCACAAATATTATCTTCTCTCATTGATACAAGCACCTTGAGACCAGGGATCTTTGTGTACTTTTTTTTTCTTTGAATTGAAGTCTCACTCTGTCACCCAGGCTGGTGTGCCATGGCATACTCATGACCACCCCAGCATCAATCTGCTGGACTCCGGCAATCCTGCCGCCTCAGTCTTCCAAGTAGCCAGAACTACAGGCGCATGCTACACAGCCAGCTAATTTTTGATTGATTGTAGAGACAAGGTCTCACCAAGTTGCCCAGGCTGGTCTTGAACCTGTGGGCTCAGGTAATCCACTCACTTCGGCCTCCCAAAGTGCTGGGATTATAGGCTGAGCCACTAAGCCCGGCCTTTTGTGTACTTTTTTGTGTTCCCTATGGCATATAACAAATTTAGTTTTAAAACATCCATCTCTATGTCTGATGTAGGTAGATACAGAGCTAGGATGGAGATGGAGATTTAAGTGAGTGTCCGTTTAACCATAAGGTTTAGCTATTAGGAAAAGGGATTCTCAGAGGAACTAGCTGAGAAGTTTATTTTCACTTCTGCTCTATAGGTGAGAGCCTAGAAATTTGCTCAGGACAATTTGCAAGCAGCATGATAGTAACATCAGTAGTATCATATATGTATCAGATTTGATGTAAAAAAGTACTATGGAGCTTTAAAACCACTTTTTAAAAATCCCTTGGTTCTGGCCAAATGCAGTGGCATGTGCCTGTAATCCCAGTACTTTGGGAGGCTGAGATGGGAGGATCACTTGAGGCTAGTAGTTTGAGACCAGCCTTGGCAACATTGTGGGACCTCATCTCTACAAAAATGATAATGATAATAATAATAATAATACAAAATTATCTAAGTGTAGTGGCATGCCCCTGTAGTCCTAGCTACTCAGGAGGCTAAGGCAGAAGGATCACTTGATCCCTGAAGTTCAAGACTGCAGTGAGCTGTGATCGCTCCCCTGCACTTCATCCTGGGCAGCAGAGCAAGACCCTGTTTAAAAAAAAAAAGTAAAATCCCTTGATTCTTTCTCAAGTAAAGAATTTTTAAAAGCAAATAAGATCTCCCTGTTCCAGGCATATAGATCAATGGAACAGGATTGAGATTCCAGAAGCAAAACCTCAATTTCTCAACCAACTCATCTTTGACAAAGCCCCCACCACCTACCACTGGGGAGAGGAGAACCTATTCAGTAAATGGTGCTGGGAAAACTGGCTGACCACATGTAGAAGATTGAAAGAGGACCCCCTATCTATCCCCATGCACAAAGGTTAACTCCAAATGGATCAGAGACCTAAATGTAAAACCTCAAACCATAAGAACCTTAGAAAATGAAGGAAATACCCTCATGGAAATCGGAACTGGCATCCAATTTCTGAACAAAACCTGAAACCCACAGGTCATAAGAGAGAAGATAGACAAGTGGGACCTTATTAAACTGACAAGCTTCTGCAAGGCCAAAGTAACTATCAAGAGAGCAGGGGAACAGCCTACAGACTGGGAAAAAAGTATTTGCCAACACCAGGTCTGACAAAGGCTTAACATCCTGGATCTGCAAGGAACTCAGACGTGCTGAAAAGAAAAAAACAAACAACCCCATTATAAAATGGGCAAAAGATATGAACAGACACTTCACAAAAGAGGACATCCAAGCAGCCAACAAACACATGAAGAAATGCTCAACCTCACTAATTATCAGGGAGATGCAAATCAAAACCACACTGAGATACCACCTAACTCCAGTCAGAATGGCAATTATCAACAACTCAAAAAATAACAGCTGCTGGAGAGGGTGTGGGGAAAAGGGAACACTTCTACACTGTTGGTGGGAGTGTAAACTAGTGCAACCTCTGTGGAAAGCAGTGTGGCGATTCCTAAAAGCTCTAAAAATCGACCTTCCATATGATCCCACAATCCCCCTACTGGGAATATACCCTGAAGAACTCAAATCACTCTATAAAAAAGATACCTGCACATGTATGTTTATCACAGCATTGTTCACAATAGCAAGAACCTGGAAACAACCATGCTGCCCATCAAAAGAGGACTGGATTTAAAAAATGTGGTACATATACACGATGGAATACTACGCAGCCATAAAAAAGAACAAAATCATGAATTTCGCAGCAACCTGGATGGAACTAGAGTCTGTAATACTGAGTGACCTCTCACAGAAATAAAGATCCGAGTATCACATGTTCTCACTCATATAATGGACCTTGAACATCCAATGTAATACTATAAGAAAATGACTGACGGTACTGGGAAACTATGGGGGGGGTATGGGATTAACAGTAGCAAATATCTGTCTGGGTATGGAAAAACACCTCTTATCAACAGGGTGCCTGAATGAAACGTAATTGTATACCTAACCCTTAACTGTACCCCACAAAACCATAATAAAAAATATTGATTAATAATAAAATAAATAAATAAAAACAGGGAAAAAAAATAGATCTCCCTGTTCCTTTTGAGGAGAAGAATTTACTTGTTTCCTAAAATTTGGTAACCTGAAGAAATCTGAGACCAATAATTTATTGATCAGAAGAAAACCAAACATGCTACAACAATATCTATGAAGATAAAAAAGATAAACATTTCAGTGATTCTGAAGTTAGTTTAAGAAAACAGAAGGCCATTCTCGATGGTAGTAAATTTACAAAGCATTAGCCCTGGAAGAACCTTGGTAATCAAATCTCACCTCTTTTTTGTTATTTTTGAATATGATAATTCAGGCCCCAGACGTCCATCTTTTCCTTCATTGCTGAATTTTCTGTATTTAGCTATAACTTTTTTTGTTTCCAAAGTAGATACTAATGTATAAAGATATATATTCACTTTTTAATATTCATTTTTCAATAGCAAAAATTCTATTCCAAAATTTTCAGTTATAACTGTGTTTTCTTCAGGCAAATTACAGAAGGAAGGTGCTTTAACACGAGTATCTGACGAAAGCCTCAATAAAGTTCAGGAAGCAGAGTCCCCTGTATTTAAAGAACTGCCTGGAGCTAAGTCTGCGGATGATAGCACCATCCCACTCACAGGGGCAGGGGAAACATCAGGGACCTCAGAAGGTACCTCTGTGGGAAGCCACCCTCGGGCCGCCTATGGTAAGATGGAGTTGGGGGTGGGAGAGTAACCTGGTGGCAAAGGAAGGTTCCCAGGGAGAGCTGGGCCTGTGTGTGGGAAGCTGACTTAATGCACAAATGGATCCCCCAGTTCTGTGTTTTGAGAACACGCAGAGGCTGAGAAGCCTTGGGAGACCGTCCACAGTGGGTAGAGCAGGCTCACTGATGTCCTGGGGCTCGCTGCTAGCTACTCACCCGTCAGCAGGGTGCGGGGCCACACTGTCTGCTGGGTCCTGGCTGCATGGGAGCCCTGTTGCAGGACTTAACAGGCGCTGTAGGTCAGTTTCCTCAGCCTCTCAGGCAGCCAGAAGAAGGCCAGAGACAAAGGAGGAGGTGGGGCTGAGGCATAGCCACAGACACCTGAAGTGTCCAGACCATCCTGGGACGGCCTGCAGCCCCTCACATTGGCGGACAGCCCCATCGGCAGCCTCCACCTCCACAGAGCAGCCGGTACCTCCTGTTACTGCAAGTATGGTCTCGTGGCCCAGGAGAGCATGAATCCTGCTTTAAGGGTCTCACGGTACTACAGGATGGTCATGAGCAGCCTTTTAAAGAAGGGCCCAACTGTGGGCAGTAACTTATGCATGTAATCCCAGCACTTTGGGAGGCCGAGGTGGGAGGATTGGTTGAGTTCAGGAGTTAGAGACCAACTCAGACAACATAGCAAGACCTCATCTCTACAAAAAATTTAAAGACTTAAAATTTAAAAATTAGCCAGATGGCACGTACCTATAGTCCCAGCTTCTCAGGAGCCTGAGGCAGAAGGATCACCTAAGCCCAGGAGGTCGAGGCTGTGGTGAGACATGATCATGCCACTGCATTCCAGCCGGGCTGACAAAGTGAGACCTTGACTCAAAAAAAAAAAAAGAAAAAAAAAGATGGCGAAGTGCCTAGACTATGTGAAGTGGATTTTGTCTCTTGAGGTTTTTATCAGATAAGTTCATTATAAAGACTCTCCCTTTATTGGTATCTAGAAAGTGCAGTTGTAACTCCTTGAAGATACTTTTTAGCAGAACTTAACAGCTTTTTAAAAATACCATATTATTTTCGCCCTTTTGTTGTATGTTCCCATTATTTTTCAATTTTAGCCATATTATTCACATTCTTTGTAGTCAGTTTAGAAAATAAATATATTGAAAAGATTAAAATTAGCCCTAATCCAACCTTCCTGAGACAAAGCCCTGAAGCAGTAGGGACGTGTCTGTCTGGGATGGCTTGTACTCAGGAGGTGAGATGACAGGACCTCTGTTCCCTCCGAGAAGGGCACTACCTTCTGGGGTGGCTTGTACTCAAGAAGTGAGATGATGACATCTCTCTTCCCTCCAGGAAGGGTGCTCCCTTCCAAGCTTTGCTTGTATTCAGAATGTGAGGTGATGGGTCCTGTTCCCTCCAGGAAGGGTACTTCCTTCCAGCCTGGCTTATACTTGGAAGGTGAGATGATGCAATCTCTGTTCCTTCCAGGAAGGGCTCTCCCTTCCAAGCTTTGCTTGTATACAGGAGGTAAGGTGACAGGTCCTCTGTTCCCTCCAGGAAGGGCACTTCCTTCCAGCATGGCTTCTACTCAGGAGGCGAGATGACACTAATTCTCTTCCTTCCAGGAAGGGTACTCCCTTCCAGCCTGAATTGTACTCAGGAGGTGAGGTGATGCGATCTCTGTTCCCTCCAGACTTGTACTCAGAAGGTGAGGTGACGCGATCTCCATTCCCTCCAGGGAGGGCACTTCCTTGCAGCATGGCTTGTACTTGGGAGATGAGATGATGCGATTTCTCTTCCTTCCAGGAAGGGTGCCCCCTTCCAGCCTGGCTTGTACTCAGGAGGTGAGGTGATGTGATCTCTGTTCCTTCCAGGAAGGGCGCTCTCCATGACCCATGGCTCCATTAAGTCGCCTGTCTCCAACGGTACCTTCGGCTTTGACGGTGCCCCGCGCAGCGACGGCCACGTGTACCACACGGTGCACAAGGACTCGGGGCTCTACAAAGACCTGCTGCACAAGATCCATGTGGACAGGGGCCCAGAGGACAGGCCCGCACCGGAAAACAACTACCGGCTGCTGCGGCGGAACAACAGCTACACCTGCTACACAGCGGCCATCTGTGGCCTGCCTGTGCACACCGCCTTCAGGGCTGCCGACTTGTCATCGGCACCAGAGGACAGCGAGAAGCTGGTGGGCGACACCGTGGCCTACTCCAAGAAGCGGCTGCGCTATGATAGCTACTCGAGCTACTGCAATGCAGTAGCCGAGGCTGAGATCGAGGCAGAAGAGGGTGGCGTGGAGATGAAGCTGGCATCCGAGCTGGGCCCTGAGCCACCTCGCGGGGACCCTGTGGAGGAGGAGAAGGAAGAGAAGGACACGGCCGAAGTGCACCTGCTCTTCCACTTCCTGCAGGTCCTCACTGCCTGTTTCGGATCCTTTGCTCATGGTGGCAATGATGTGAGGTAGGTGCATTCATTCATTCAGCAGGGACACCAAGGGTCTGTAGGGCCAGGCTCCATCTGGGGGCTGGAACAGCAGTAGCAAGCTGTGACAGAGTCCCTGCTCTGGAAATCACGAGAAGAGGGCACGCACAGTCCACAGATGGGCCATGAGCCGCGTGTCCATGGTACCCAGTGTTAAAGAGGAGAGCAGGGCAGAAGCGGGCAGGCATGAGACAGGTGCACGGGGGCTCCCTGGGAGGCTGCTGAGGTGAGGGGCCACCCATGTGGCATTGGGGATGGAGGGACAGTGGATGCAGAGGAGTACCCTAGGAGGAGCAAGGAGGCCAAGGAAGGAGACCATGGAGGGGACAACAGAGACTCTGAGGCCAGCAGGTCACGCTGCCTGAAGCTCCAAGGGGTGTAGACAGAGAAATGACTGTTTCATGCTGGGGGCACCACGGGCATGTGAGCGGAGGCCACAGGGTGCACATGGAGCAGGATCATGCTGGCTTTTGTTTTGTGAATAGATTTCAGGGAGGCAGAGCATGCTGGAGAGGCAGCTAGGAGGTGACCATGGTCACCCGGGGAGAGAGAACTGTGCCTGGTCCCAGGGGCAGGCGGTGTGTCCAGGTTCTGGATCTGTGCTGAAGGTGGAACCAATAGGATTGACTGACAGATAGGACATGGGTGTGAGAGAGAGAAGCCTCTCAGAGAGGCAGCTCCGTCTGGCCACCGTGGCCTCAGCAGATGTAAGGAGCCTATCAGGAAGGTGGCTGCCAGAGGAGGGTGTGGGCGAGGCAGGAGGAGCTTGGCTCTGGACCTGGAGGTTTGACATGAGCAGGCAGCAGGTGCCATGCGCTGAGTTCAGGGACAAGGCAGGAGAAACTGGGCAGACGCGCCCAAGCCCCAAGGCTGGGAGGCAGGAAATGGAACCCACGGATTGAGCCCCAGGCACAGTGATATTGAGGGTGTGGGAAATGACAAGGAAACACCAGGAAGGAGACACGTCAGTTCAGGAGGTTAGATCTTCCACATAGGCAGTTTTTCATGTGTGTTCAGCAGGGACTGGAAGCTGACATTTTGTACCCCTTAAATTTTTTCTCTGTTTAGTTAAAATTTCTGACTTATTATTGAAAGGTGTTTTCAGAAGTCCACAGTGTTAAACTTCCAGGCTGGTATTTATCCTCTTTTCATTTATTCATTTGGTCAGTGGGCAGGCACTTATTGAGTACCTACTGTATGCCAGAGAGTGTGTGAAGCTCTGTAGCTAGAAAGGTGAATGGGATGTGGTCCCTGTCCTCAGCTTGTTCGTGTGACAGGGCAGACATGTGAGCAGGTAATTGAGGTTGAGTTACTTTGAGGTGGGAGGGGGGCTCTGTGGGAGCATGGTGGGGGAGCAAAGAAAAGCTTCAAGGGACAAGTGACATCCCTTGGAACAGGGTCTTGGAGTCTTAAGGAATTTGTCAAGTAAATAAACATGGCACAGGCATTTTTATGTAAAGGAAATGTTATCTGTTTAACCTCTCCTGCTTTGGTTTCCTCACCTACAAAATAGGGAGAACAGTGCCTCCCTTACAGGATTGCTGTGAGGAGGAAAGGATGTTTGTAAAGCACCTAGAACCCGGAGCACATGGCACATACTCACCAGTCTTAGTTGTTCCCAGTGGCACCAGTAGTGTGGCGGCAGCAGGGTGGCTTCTGCAGTGAGAACAGGACCTCACAGGAGGGACTGGCAGAGCCTGGGAGCCTGACGGGAAGGGGGTGCTGCTGGGCAGGGTCACCGGTTCAGGGACAGCCAGGGTCTTTTCAGGTTGGACTCCCTGGTGAGATGACTGCCGGGGGCCAGGACCAGCCTGAGTGACCAGGCACTTTCTGTCACCGAGTATTTGACTGCAGTGAGAAGGCTGCCCTGCAATGGGCTCTGGTCTCCCACTGCACAGTACGGCCTCTTTTGTTGTTCATTTAGCAAGAGGGTACCTATGTACTGGGCCTCAGCAATGTGCTATTTATCACATGTTCTGATCCTCCTTCAAAGCAGCCCTTTGAGCTGGGGAAGTGGTGTCTTTCAAGGTGGAATATGACACTCAGAAACGTCACCCACCCAGGATCACACAACTAGAGAGGAGCAGGCTTGGAAGCAAGTTCATTATAGCTCTCAGCCATGCTCGGTCTACATAGCAGGGCTGGAGCCTAGAGCTAGAGAAACCGTCAAAAGCGCAGCAGGGCTCAACGTGGGTGCCAAGACCTAAATGACCACAACAAGTGTAGGGGAAGGGCATACGGTCCTGAGCAAGCCCTAGCACATGGCCCAGGCCTGCCCCTGCCAGCAGTGTGAACTTAGCCTCGGTTTCCTCATCAATAAGATGGAAGTGATGGTGCCTAGTTTGTAGGGTGGTGTCCAGTCCTCTCACCTTGGCCTCCCAAAGTGCTGGGATTGCTGGCATGAACCACTGCACTCAATCACCTGTGGCAATTTCTTAACATAAGACAACAATGGAGTTTGTCGCATCGATTGACTCTTCCTTTCACAAAAGATTTCTCTGTTGTATAAGATGCTGTTTGATAGCATTTTACCCAGAGTAGAACTTTCAAAATTGGATTCAAACCTCTCAAACCCTGCTGCTGCTTCATCAACAAGTTTATGTCATATTCTAGACTGGGCACAGTGACTCACTCACGCTTGTAATCCCAGCACTTTTAGAGGCAGAGGTGAGAGGATTGCCTCATCCCAGGGGTTTGAGACCAGCCTGGGCAACTTGACAAGACCTTGTCTCTACAATAAACCAAAAAATTAGCCAGGCGTGGTAGTACACGCCTGTAGTTCAAGCTACTTAGAAGGCTGAAGTAGAAGAATCGCCTGAGCCCAGCAGGTTGAGGCTGCAGTGGCCATGAGTGTCCCAGTGTACTCCAACCTGGGCGATAGGGTGAGACTCCAACCAAAAAAAAAAAAAAGTTTGTCATATTCTAAATCCTTTGTTGTCATCTCAATAATGTTCCCAGCATCTTCACCAGGAGTAGATTCTACCTCAAGAATACTCTTTCTTTACTTGTCCATAAGAAGCAACTCCTCATCCATTCAAGTTTTATCATGAGATTGCAGCAATTCAGTCCCTTCTTCAGGCTCCCCTTCAAATTCTAGTTCTTTTGCTATTTCTACCACATCTGCAGTGACTTCCTCCACTCAAGTCTTGAACCCCTCAAAGTCATCCATGAGGGTTGGAATCATCTTCTTCCAAACCCCTGTGAGTGTTGATATTTTTATCTTTCCCCATGAATCACAAAATTTCATAATGGCATCTAGAATGGTGAATTCATTCCAGAAGGTTTTGAATGGACATTGCCCAGATCTGTCAGAGGAATCCCTATCTATGGCAGCTGTAGCCTTATGAGTTGTATTTTTTAAATATTAAGACTTGAAAGTCAAATGACTCCCTGACCCATGGGCTGCAGAATGGATGCTGTGTTAGCAGGCATGAAAACGATATTCATCTCCTTGTATACCTCCATCAGGGCTCTTGTGTAACTAGGTGCATTGTCAGTGAGCTGTAATGTTTTGAAAAGAATCTTTTTTTTCTGAACAGTAGGTCCCAACAGTGTGCTTAAAATAGTCAGTAAACCATGCTGTAAACAGATATGCTGTGTTGTTCCATTTCTAGAACCCAAGCAGAGTAGATTTAGTTTAATTCTTAAAGACCCTAGGATTCAGAATGGTCAATGAGAATTGGCTTTGCCTCCAAGTTACCACCTCTGTTAACCCCTAACAAAAGAGTCAACCAGGTCTTTGAAGCTTTGCAATTAGGCACTGACTTCTCTCTAGATAGGAAAATGCTATTCTTCTCCCAACAGAAGCCTGATTTATCTAATTGAATACCTGTTGATTAGTGTAGCCACCTTCATCAATGATCTTAGCTAGATGTTCAGGATGACTTGCTGCCGCTTCTCCGTCAGCACTTGCTGCTTCACTTGCACTTTTATATTATGAGATGACTTCTTTCCTTAAACCTCATGGCCAACCTCTGCTAGCTTCCAGTGTTTCTTCTGCAGCTTCCTCATATCTCTCAGCCTTCATAGAATGGAAAAGAGGGCCTTGCTGAATTAGATTTTGGCTTAAGGGAATGCTGTGACTGGTTTGATCTTCTATCCAGACCACTAAAGCTCTCTCCATATAAGCAATAAAGCTGCTTCACTTTCTTATCCATTGTGTTTTCATTAGAGTAGCACTTTCAGTTCCCTTCAAGAACTCTCCTTTTCATTCACAGCTTTTCTGTTTGGCACAAGAAGCCAAGCATTGGGCTTATCTCAGCTTTTGAGCTGCCTTCCTCACTAAGCTTAATCATTTCTAGCTTTTGATTTAAAGTCAGACGTGCAGCTCTTCTTTTTACTTGAACACTTTTTTTTTTTTAAGTTAGGGTCCCTCTCTATTGTCCAGACTGGAGTGTAGTGACATGATCACAGCTCACCATAGCCTCAACCTCCTGGGCTCAGATGTACCTTCTACCTCAGCCTTCTGAGTAGCTGAGACTACAGGCACGTCCTGCTACACTTAGCTAATTTTATTTTATTTTTTTATAGAGACACGGTCTTGCTATGTTGCCCATGCTGGTCTCGAACTCCTGAGTCCAAGTAATTCTCCCATCTTGGCCTCCCAAAACGCTGGCTTTATAGATGTGAGCCACTGTACCAGGCCTACTTGAACACTTAGAGGCCATTGTAGAGTTATTAATTGGCCTAATTTCAATACTGTTGTGTCTCAGGGGACAGGGAGGCCTGAGGAGATGAGGAGAGATGGGGTCATTCAATCGATGGAGCAGTCAGAACACACACAGCATTTATCTATTATTGTCTTATATGAGTGTGGTCCATGGCTCCTCAAAACAACTACAGCAGTAATATCAAAGATCACTGATGTGTTATGGTGATCACAGTCACCATAACACATATAATAACAATGAAAAAGTTTGAAATAGTGTGAGTTCCCAAAAGGTGACACAGACACAAAGTAAGCATTTGCTGTTGGAAAAATGGCACCTGTGGACTTGCCACAAACCTTTAATTTGTTAAAACACACACACACAATAGCTGTGAAGCACAATGAAACGAAGTAATCCTATATTGTGTACATTGTCGTTTGCTTTTTCCAGTAATGCCATCGGCCCCCTGGTGGCCCTGTGGCTCATCTACGAGCAGGGCGGAGTGATGCAGGAAGCCGCGACCCCTGTGTGGCTGCTGTTCTATGGAGGCGTGGGAATCTGCACAGGGCTCTGGGTGTGGGGGAGAAGAGTGATCCAGACCATGGGGAAAGACCTCACCCCAATCACCCCGTCCAGGTGAGCCGGGGACCCGTGGGATGGGGCAGGTATCATCAGGGACTGCGCAGGGCTGTGGGCTGCGTCTCAGAGCGTCTGGCTCTGCTGTCATGCCAGCCTTGCACAGGGGCGCTCCACAGTTGGTCATGGGGGAGAGGACAGCAGGCAAGGAACCCATTCTCACCCCCTTCACACGTTCCCCGCCTCCACCCAGGTCCCAGGTCCCAGGGCGAGGGGCAGGAAGGTGGAGGGAAGAGAACAAGGACCCAACCTTCAGTCCCCAGGCCACCCCACTGTTGGCTTCATCTGGGGCAGGCAGGGAAGGAGGAAAGCTGAGGACAGCACCAGGGCCCAGAACCAGCCCTTCCAGAAAGTAGTTATCTGGCCACGCCAGCCCTCACTAGCCACTCTTCTGGGGTGGCCTTGAGCATCCTTCCTCTCGCTTCACCAGGTGGGGTGGTGTTCCCTGCTGTCCTGGGCTGGCTCTGGAGGTTTTCGATGTAGTCCCACGATTGTCTAGCCTTTAGCTATATTAGGGTTAAACACACTTGCAGGGGAAATTTGAAAAACAGCCCAAACATATTGGAGGTTTCCTCTGTATATTATTTTTAAGTTTTCCCCCTTTGAAATTTATTTTGAGAAAATATTTTTGGAAGACTAATTTGAAGAAAAATCTGAGAAAAACTCACTTTTTTGTAGTAAGTGCACATTTTAAAAATGAGAGTATAGTTTTTCCTATACTGGTTTAGAAATGACTGACTTCCTGTCTCACTGACACAGCAGGGACTTCTGACCCAGTTTCTGAGTGTGTGGCTTTGAAGACTAAGCAGGAAGACAGGCTGGCTGTCAGCAGCATAGCACAGTCTCGGCCTCTTGTTCTGTTAAAGTCCATCCTGCCCAGTCAACCATCCACAGTCGCCCTAGAGAATGTTCTGGTGAGACTGGCACCACAGGGAGTCAGGGAGGCCAACACAAAGGGCGCCTGTGATGTCTTGTTCTCCCTCCCGCAGCGGCTTCACCATTGAGCTGGCCTCAGCCTTCACGGTGGTGATCGCTTCCAACATCGGGCTTCCGGTCAGCACTACACACTGCAAGGTAGGCCCTGTGGTAGGAACCCTCAAGAGCATGTATATGGGGGAAAGGCTAGGGCCTCTGTGTATGTGGCTGGTCCTGAGGAAGCGTCTCAGGGCCTCTGGGTCTGCCGGGACCTTGCTGGACATGGGCATGGGCTTTTGTCCGATCACTCCCTCAGCCGGCCTTGCTCACAGGGCAGCGCCTCCCCTCTGCAGACCTGGCCTCCAAGGCCCCCTGCCCACAGGGTGACGCCTTCCCTTGTACAGATGTGGCCTCTCTGAGCTATGCCTTCCACTTGAATGTGTGTTACCATTGCCACATGTCCTGTTTCTCTCTTGTTGCTTTTACAGTGGGTCTTGCATTGAAGTCATGTGCACAGCCATGTCCACAGGCTTGCTTTGGGGTGTGCCACTCGGTTCACCCCACTGTAGGGGACTGGGGGGTTGACAGTAGAAATGGAAACAAACAGAAATCATCTCAGTGGAATTGTAGGGCACGGTCGTTCCAGGGCTTTTTCCTTATATGATGTTCAAAGTGACTGCATTACCTCAAATTCCAGATGAGAGGTCATTTCTAATGTTGACCACTGCCAGTGATCTAAACTCAGAGTTGACCCTGAGTGATTCCATACCCTGGTGGAGTATGGGAGCTGTAGGGGGATCTTGACAGTTGGAGAAGAGGAAGTGGGCTCCATGTGTTGCAGGGCACTCTCCCAGGTCAGCAGGCCTGATGACCCGGGTCTGCCCAGCACCTGGAGAGAATCTTCACATCCCTTCAGTGGCCCCTGCACACAGAAATGCCAATCTCAACAAAGCAAAACCTCTTTCAGATTTTCCCAAGGCTCATTCATTCATATCATTCAAGAATGGTCACATGTGCCTGTTCTGGGAGGGGGGGTCACTGTTCCAGGCTCCAGGGGCAGGGCAGCAGCCTTCAGGACAGACATGGCTGTCTGCATTCATTTTTAAAATCCAGCTAAATACAAGTGGCTTGGTGCTTCAAACTCAAAGGCCCAGTAGCACTTCCAAGGGTATTTTGCATGGGCCCCGCAGCACTTAGAAGACAGAGTTGGAGTCTGACTGGACAAATCAATCTCATTGGAAAGAATTGGTTTTTTTCCTTCTTTGCTACAATGTGTAGAAAAATTTCAATTTCCATAGATCTTCATTATGAAGACCCCCCCCCGATCCCCACTGTGTATAGACAGAGCACCCAGTATTTTGCTCAGTGCTTGGTGCACTTGCAACACCTCATTTAATCCCCACAGCAGCCCCAGGGAATTGGTGAACTATGCCCAGCTTACAGATGGGGAAGCTGAGGCCTCCAGTCAGGCCACTTTGTTATGTTCGTGCACTTGCCATGGATGAATCTGGGATTCAGGTCTTTACCTGTGCTGCATTCCTCCTGATTGTGGCTGTGATCCTCATCATCAGTGCCCAGCCATGGCCAAATGCACGACTACGTTCTCTTGGCCCTGCAGCCGTTAGCTTGCCTAACCCCTAGGAGTCTTTGGAAGTATGATCCAGTGTCCTCAGTTTCATTCCCCCTGTCCCATGCCCTTCTTCCCTCCCCAGCCCTCCACTGTGTTCCTGGCTCTGCTACTCAAACCTGAAGGTAGAAGCAGGAAGAGGCACGGACATGCCACCATCCCTTTATTATTAGTTTCTAGTTTGGGTTGTAAGCCCATGCACACTGACTCTTCCAACAGTATGAACCACATAGAATGAAAAGTACCATTTCCCCTTTCGCCACCTCACTTCCCCAGGCAGGTGGGAACAGCCCTTTTTTAATTTTTTGAGTTGGGGTTTCACTCTGTCACCCAGGCTGGAGTGCAGTGGTACCATCATGGCTTACCATATCCTCGTCTTCCTGGGCTCAGGTGATCCTCCCATTTTAGCCATCCGAGTAGGTGGGACTACAGGTATGTACCACCACATACAGCTTTTTTTTTTTTTGTAGAGACCAGGTCTCACTATGTTGCCTAGGCTGGTCTCAAACTGCTGGGCACAAGCAGTCCTCCTGCCTCAACCTCCCAGAGTGCTGGGATTACAGGACTGAGCCACTGCCTGGCAAGGATGCTTTTAAATAAATGATACACTGACTTTTTCACAGCTAACCCTGCACCTTCACAATCCTGGTGAAGACAACTCTTCACAACAGCCGAAAGATCCCTTGAAACCAGAACAAGTCTGGTTTTTCTAAGTTGTTGTCACTTACTTACCTGACCGTAGCAGCAGTCTCACCTACACTGACGTATACAGTAATAAAACTGATAATACTAATTGTGCTAACAACACTGAACTCAGGATGCAGTCTATAGAAATAGATGAAAAGCATAAAATGCTTATAAAAAACTAAACCCTAGATTATCTTTAAATGTCATTTCCCCAATACTGCCTTCTTCCTTATACCATAATAGGGAGGTGTTGCCAAGAGACCTCTGTCCAGTGAGTACAGGACTGTAGTGAACTCATTGCATATGCAGTCATTGGCTAGAATATCCGTGCAAGTCACACGGTAAGTTTTGTTTTCTTCGGCCCAATGATAAGTAGTATTAGGATAGTTTGGCACACATAAAGCAGATCTCCGTGACGTGGGCCTGTAGTGGGTGCTGGCTGTGAAGCAGATGAGGCAGCACTGCTGGGCTTCTGGTCACTTTGTCCAGTGTCCTTGATCATGGGCTTCTGGACAAGCCCAGAGTTCTTACTGTGAGAGCCAAGGCAGGGTCCCGGCTCTCAGACCCTGGAGAGTAGCTGGGGAGCAAGTGACTTGTAAGCATCCCAACAGGGAAGAGCTAAGAAGAGTCACCCCCAACACTCACCCTCTCATGTCATGTTTCCTCTGCACACGACAGTCCCCAAGTGGCAAATGTGGACAGAACCGTGAAGGCCATGGGCAGCGTTAAGAATAGGCCCTCTGTGCATGCACCCATGTTGCTGTCCACAGAGTCACAGCCGAATCCCATCAGACTCAGGAGCCTTATCCTGTATCAGACTTTCTAGTTTCTTGCTTAGAGGCCTCCATTAGAAGGTGAGAAAACATTGGGAACTTACAGGAAAAAAGATGGAAAGTGTCATTTTAAATGAGCTTATCAGTTTATCTAGGAAGATGTCGTTTATTCATGCTTCCGAGTGTACATATCTAAGTGCATAGTTTTGAATTCTTTGTACCCTACTTAAAGCTTGTGAAATTCGGTTATATCATGTGCTACAAGTGTGAGCTGAATGTATAATTTGGAAAAAAAAATAGGAAAGTCATATTATCAACATCTTATTCCAGAAGGCATATATGAGAGAATCTGCTTTGATTAGAAGTTTTGCTCTCTGAAAGTATTTCAGTTTTATGCATTTTTGCATTTCACACCAGAGAGCTCAGTTTACTGGATATTTTTTTGGAAAGGTCAAAAGCCTTAGTTGAAGAAGTAGAAGCTAGTCTTGAAGTAAAAGTGTCCTCAGATGGGTATTTCAGCGATGTGTTCATCGCTCTCCCTTCGTCACCTTGGTCTTCAGCCCAGATGCATGACACACCCGGGCAGCTGGTAAACCCTCCCACCACTGAGCACAGACACTGGCAAGCTCTTCACTTCAGTGGGAGCTTGGAGTGGTGGTATCCAGAATGTTTTAATCCCACGTAGGGTAGATTGGGATTATCCTTTCTTGGTGGGCTACTCATACTGTCCATCTTGACTGGTGACGTAGATGATGACTCATCAGCTCTGGATTTGAAGCAGCATGTCAGGAACACCCCTGACTTGCAGATGTCATATTGCAACTGCTCTGTCTTGCTCTGAGTTCCTCTGCTTTGCCGTGGTTCTGGTGCTGTTAGCACCTGCTGCTGGCCTTAAGCTGGAAACACACGCAGTTTATTAACAGGGAGGCCAAAACGTAGCAAAGAACACCATTTTATATGCACAGAAGACATGATCAGTAGTGAAGACATACTATTCTGGACTTTTTCTGAACCAAGTACCATATAACTAACTAAATACATAAAGTTGTTAGAAGCCGGGCTCGGTGGCTCAACCTGTAATCCCGCGCCTTTGGGAGGCTGAGGTGAGTGGATTGCCTGAGTCCGTGGGTTCGAGACCCACCTGGGCAACTTGGCGAGACCTCGTCTCTACAATAAATCAAAAAATTTGCTGGGCGGGGTAGCGCATGCCTGTAATTCTGGCTACTTGGAAGGCTGAGGCGGAAGGATCACCGGAACCCAGCAGGTCCAGGCTGCGGTGGCCGGGAGCGGCCACTGCACTCCAGTCTGGGCGACAGAGTGAGACTCCAACTCAAAAAAAATAAAAAAGTTGTTAGAACTCAGAAATTAGTCTGTCTGAGTCTTATGACAGATGAAGTTGAGGGAAAATAGCCAGTAATACAAAGTAATAAAAAGTAATATGGTATAGTTATAGCAATGTAACTCATAGGTGTGTATCAGATTTTTATGCTCCTGAACACATGCCTTCCTTGTCAAGCATCATGAAACATTTATTAAAATGAATTCTAAATTCAGAAGACCATGATAAAAATCTCCACAAAATTTTAAAAACAGAAGCTGTGCTAGCCACGATTTCTATTTACAATGAAATTAAACTAGAAATTAATTATATGTTGAAATAAGAATGTATTCCCTTAGACATTTTTAATGTAACAATTGAATCAAAGAGTTTTAGAAAATGCAGTGATAGCTTTCTTGGAGAATAATGTAAACTGAATGTGCGTGTCTGTGAGTGGATACGCATAACAAAACCTGTGGCCACCAAAACTAGTATAAAAATTCCTATCTTTCAATAATTTAATTGACCAAAGGGAAAATATAATAACCAAATATTCAAATTAGGATTTTATAAAAAGTCCAGAACAATAAAAATTCTGAGAAAATAGGATGTAAGAAGTATAAAAGCAAAATAAATTTAAAAACAAAAATAGTAAAGAAGAAGTGAGAAAGGAAGTTACTAATAAAATAATATCAAGGAAAAGAAAGGAGGGGAATTAGGAGGGAGGAAGACATTATAACAGTAGACATAGAAG